TCCACATTATTACCTCTATTCACTTAAAAAGCCTATTGGCGAATTGCTACAGTGTTTCCCTTGCCTAAAAACTGCCACGAACCAACAAGAGCTGTGACGGTCCCCATATATTTTTTGCGTCAATTTTACGTGAAAAATTCTCATCACGAACTTTTTATGTTTACGATGGTCTTTAATCCACGCCGTCCGAAAAAATTGGATGGCACTGAGTTTATGGGCGAAAATACTGTTCATTTTCACCCATAAGTGTTTTATAGTCAATCTATGGGGGAAAATGAGGTCGTGGCCGTACTATCAGCTCATATTCAATGTAAACTGTTGGGCTCATATGTTGATATGAGTTAGTTGGCTAATCTCAACATTATATATATATATATATATATATATTTTAATGAAGAACACTGTGCAACGCCTATAGGCGAAAATGAACACTGATTTCACCTACCCCTATCATCGTCCAAAGCTCATCGCGCGGTCACGATTATCTTGTAGTATTTTATTTTTTATTTTTTTTCTACAAATCGGAATTATATGAAATTTTGAGCATGTATTCATCAAAAATAGGGGAATCTTTGAAAATTAAAAAAAAAATATTTTACATAAAAAAATTAACCAAAATACCCCTAAAACGTTTTGAGGGTATTTTGATCAATTTATTTTATACAGATAATTGTTTTTATATTTTTATTAGATGCGCTTAAGATGTATATACTCTCCAAGTTTCAAGTCATTTCGATATGTAAAAAATAAAATACTATGAGACAATAGTAACTACGCGATGAAATTTGGACAGTGATGAAGGTAAACAAAATCAATATTCATTTTCTGTCTATAAACATTTAAAAGACTTTTCCCATTGAATACCGCACGGGTTAGGTAAGAGTCGGGTCCGACTAGAATTCGGGTCACAAAATAGCCCCGTCCCGAGATTGGATATCGTCCCGAGGTAGTAGGTCTATTGCCAGCCCTAATATTAATGCACTTGCTGGGACCGACATTCCACTCCTTCCCATGTAATCAACGGCGACTTACTTGTCCACGTTGACCGACATTCCACTCCCCATTTCTTCTCTACACGCATAGACTTCCGTCCCTCTTCTCTCTCTACACCAAGACTCTCTTGGAGTCAGCCCCCTTCTCCCCTGCACACAAAAAGCCTTCTCTGTCTCTGTCTCTCTCTATATCCTTGAAAAGACAGAGATTGGATCCCCAACTTTCTCTCTCTTCATTTAGGAGAGAGAAAGGAAGAAGATGGTGGTGGAACATGTTGTGATGATGCCATTCATGGCGCAGGGGCACCTCATCCCATTTGCCGCCCTTGCTGAGCTCCTCTCTGAGCTTCACTCCCTCAAAATCACCCTCGTCAATACCCCCCACAACGCCTCCAAGCTGCGCTCCATGATGAATCCCAAGGCCGCCGGCGCCATCGACGTCGCTGAGCTCCCCTTCTCGAGCGCCGACCATGGCCTCCCCCCGGATGCCGAGAACACAGATGCCCTCCCTTACCCTCTCATTCTCCGCCTCTTCGAAGCCTCCGAGACCCTCGAACCTGCCTTTGAGAGCCTCATCTCCGATGTCGCTCGCAAAGATGGCCGCCTACCGCTTTGCATCGTCGCGGACGTCTTCTGTGGCTGGACAGTGTTGGTGGCAGAGAGGCTTGGCATCCATCACGTGGTATTCACTACCTGCGGGGCCTTCGGCACGTTGGGGTACGCATCTACATGGTTGCACCTGCCGCATGTGGGGACTGACGCCGACGAGTTCCCGGTCCCAGGTATGCCGGGCGTCAGGCTTCACCGGACGCAGCTCGCGAGCCACCTCAGAGTAGCGGACGGCAAAGACGGATGGTCGATCTTTTTACAGAAGCACATATCCCTCTCAATGCATCGGTCGAGGGGTGATATGCTATGCAACACGGTGGCCGAGCTCGAGCCGGATGGTATAAGGCTACTGCAAACGATGACTGGGAGCCGAGTCTTGCCAATTGGGCCCCTCTTGCCTCTCTCTCTCTTCTCCGAGAATTGGGCGAGGGAGCGCGGGGGCAAGCCACTGGGGATCTCAGCCGAAAGCTGCATAGCCTGGCTCGATACTCAGCCACTGCGCTCGGTCCTGTACGTTTCATTTGGGTCGCAGAACACAGTTTCGAGGTGGCAACTGAAGGAACTGGCACTGGGTCTCGAGGCGAGCGGTGCAGGATTCATCTGGGTGGTGCGACCACCGTTGGAGTTCCCCATGACTGCCGAGTTCAGATCAGAGTGGCTTCCGGAAGGGTTCGAGGAGCGGGTGAAAGACCGCGGCCTGATCGTCAAGGGGTGGGCACCGCAACTGGCGATTCTGTCGCACAAGGGGACCGGCGCTTTCCTGAGCCACTGCGGGTGGAATTCGGTATTGGAGAGCCTAAGCCAAGGAGTTCCTCTCATTGGATGGCCCATGGCGGGGGAGCAATTCTACAACACGATCATGTTGGGGGACGAAAAAGTTGGGGTCTGTGTGGAGGTTGGGAGGGGGAAGGAGGTGGGGGTGGATAGAGAGAAGGTGGCGAGAGTGGTGGCGGAGGTGGTGAAAGGGGAGAAGGGAGCGGAGATGAGGAGAAAGGCCGCCGAGATGAGAGAGGACCTCAGGAAAGGGATGGCGGAGGAGGAGAGCGGTGGTGGTTCTTCTCTTAGAGCTTTGGATGAATTCGTTGCATCAATTGTGAGCCCGCATGTGCACTTTGTGGCTTGACTTATTAATGGCTGTTGCTTCAAATTGAGCCGCAGTATTGCACCCTTGGCTCTTTAGTGTGCTCCTTCTAAGGCTCGCAGGACCACCAATTCTTTGGATGCTTTCGCCTGGAAAGGCAACATATTTTAAGTTTAGAATAAAATTTTGTTGGACATTTCCTTGTCATTTTCACCTACGGTGCGCCCCCGGCTTCAAAATTCACGCCCACAGGCCAGGGTATGGCTATGCCCATGACCAATCGTATTTTTATGTCATGGACGTCGTTCTTTGAGTCCATGTAGAAATGAGTCACCTCTTAAAAATAATTTTTGTAAAATTTTTAATATGGAGATCATAAATATAATTTTTTTAAAAAAATTAGAAAGAATAATTCTATTAAAAAAATATTTAAATAGTTAGTTTCAATTGTTTTTAGATGGACTACCTATTTGCATCCTTTTTTCTATCTTTAAAATGGATGCTTTATACTTTGGGGCCACATATTGTAGAAATACGGTCTAACCTATATGAAATAATTTTCTTTATATTATATGTATTTTTATATATTACATATTATAAAACAATTTTCAGGAAAAATATGCGGCATTCTTGCGTAGTTTATAGTTGGAGTCATATTACTTGACGTCTTATTTGAATTTTTTATTTCCATTTTACTCTCAATTTTGAAAATCTAATAACTTTCTAACTATCCAAATATGAAAGCAATTTTATGTTTTGGGCAGACCACGCGAACACATTTTGGCATTTTGAGAGCCGGACTTTCAAGCCGTCTAAATACATCAAAATTTTATTTGTTTATTTTATAGTTTAGATGATTCAAGACTTAGGCGTAAGGGCCAAATATGATTTTTTGTTTTTTGCAAAAGTGGGAACTAAATCTTGCATTAAGTAGGATCTCAATGTAATATGATTGATTAATATCCTTTACAATAATACTGCATATTTTCTTGATCCATATATAAATTTGGAAAAACTTTTCTGTACCCTTTATTTTTTGAACCATTTTTCAAAAAACCCAAAGTTTCAAAACCTTTCTTTGAACATAGGGTTACAGTCTTTTGTATTTTTCAACCCCTGTACTCAAATGACCTCCATTGACCACATATTATTAACCCAAACAAATTAAAAAATGACACATTTTTCCTCTCAAACCTTAAGTCCCTCTTTCTCTATTAACTTTTCTCCATCTCTCTCTTAAGAGAGGCTCTCAAGGCCAAGTTCGTGAGATTTTGGAAATTGGGGTCACCCTAGATTTTAATTTAGATGGAACCAGAAGGATTGGGGTTCAATTGTCTGCTAATTTTAGAGTTTCAATGCTGAAACCTAGAAATCTCGCGGAGGCTACGGTCTATGCTAGCACGGATTTTTGGGGTCTTTCTATGAATGTGTTAGATAGTTTGAAACACACCTTTTTCAATTTTTCACAATCAGCAAGCAAAGTTTCAGGGCCTGCAGCCATTATTGTTGTGTAGTAGAGGTCGCAAGATCAAGCATTGATGGCCTCTATCAATTTGCAGCCATTCTTAATCTTAATTTTGAGGTAATAAATTTGGTTTCTGTACCTGCTCTTGATGGTGGGTCATTGACTCTTTTACTTGTAGAGGCGGCAAGAGGTGGTAGAGCCCCAAGAAGTTGAGTAGAGGATGCTCTCTGGATTTTAGAGAGAGAGATAAAGGAGAGAGAGATAACGTAGAGTTGGGGATTTTGAGAAAGACCATAATAAGGGCTTGAGAGATCTGTGGGGTTTTTAGAGTGAGAGAGCGGAGAGAGAGAGGCTATTGAGATTTGGGGCTTTTGAGAGACCAGGCTTGAGAGCTCTATGGGTTTTTTTTGAGAGAGAGAGAAAAGAGACAAACGTTTTGGTCAGTCTTGAGAGAGAGAGATTTTGCTCAGCCTTGAGAGATAGAGAGATTTTGCTCAGTCTTGAGAGAGAGACGTTATTCCCCATCCTGAGAGAGACGAAGAGAAATTACAGAGAGGATATTAAGATGCAAGAGAAAAATTTGTCATTTTATGATTTGTTTGGTCAATAGCATGTGGTTAAATAGGGTTATTTGAGTCTACGATTGGAAAATACAAAAGATTGGAACCCTATACCGTCAAATTTTTTTTGAAATATTAGACCTCTTGAGAAATGGTTTAAAAAAATTGGAGGTCTTGGATAAATTTTTCGTATAAATTTCTTTATACAAAAATATATCTATTTATGCAATATATATTACATATATACTTATATGAGAATGATCTCATATATTATGAGAATGGTCTTGTATATTTTCAGTAGACAGGCGTGGGCACTTGTAGTTCTCAACCTTAGATTAAAACCAATCTTGAGATTGATCTTGCTTGTCTCTTAAATAACACATTTGTCCGTCCCTCTCTCTTAAATAATTGGAGTTACTATTTAATAATCATAGATACTATTTAGGCATGTAAAAAAAAAATAGTTTCATGCGGGTTGGACCACATTTCTACAATATGCTGTCCAAAGGTATAAAGCATCGATCTTAAAGATGGATGCAAATAGGTGGTGCATCTAAAAACAATTGTATCTAACGGTCTAAATGTTTTCTCAATATAATTATTATTTTCAATTTTCAATTTTCAATTTTCAATTT